GAAGGTTCCGGTTCCGGGGCCACGGTCGGTTCAGGGGCCGGTTCTGCAGTGGGTTCTGGAGAAGCGGATGGTTCAGGGGCCGGTTCAGTAACGGGTACTGGAGGTTCGGGGGAGGCAGACGGTTCGGGAGACGCAGACGGTTCGGGAGAGGCAGACGGTTCGGGCGAGGCCGGAGGTTCGGCTGTCGGTTCCGGAGCGGGTTCCGATGTTGGTTCAGGTGACGCCGCGGGTTCCGCAGTCGGTTCCGGGGAAGCAGCTGGTTCCGGAGCCGCCGATGGTTCGACAGAATGTTCGTGTTCCGATGAAGGCGGTTCTGGCGTCGGTTCCGGAGATGCAGCAGGTTCGGGCGATGGTTCTGGTTCGGATGTTGGTTGTGGTTCCGCCGACGGTTCTGGTGATGAAGATGGTTCCCATGAAGCAACCGGTGACGGCTCGGATGAGGCAGGGAAGCCAGAGCCAAAGATTCCTAAAATTGAAACGGCAATATAAGAAAATCACGAATATAATTTTTCTCTTCAGTGTGCCTTTATTCTAATTATTCCATCGACTACATTGTTACAATTGAAACTACGTTGGTAGAATCTCAAATTGCAGAGTTATTGAAATGTACTTTTTCATCATTTCAATGGTGGGAGTCATAATCAATATAAATGCAATTTCGGAGCATAGTAGTTAGTACAGTAAATATAATTTTTTTATTGGTCACAAAAGTCACAAAATGTTAATATAAAAGACTCGTCTGCATCCTCACATACAATTATAATGGAAATCCAATATATTTCTGTTCCATTCTCACTGTAATAGAACAGATGAGGAACATCCCAACATTTACAGGCACTTTAGAGTGGATAAAACATTGAGAAGACAAAGCATATTAAAAGTTGAAGAACAACAGAAAGGGTATCGTTATCAAAAACGACAACCTGCATGTATCGTACCGTGACGGAGGTTCCGTCAAAATTTAAAAATAGCATTACAAAAGCACAGTTTACAGGCCAAAGCCCGGGACCGAGAACTGCGCCAATGGGTTGACTCATTCCGTAGCTAGGATGCCAGCGCCGGCCGGCCAGCGGCGGGGGTAGCGTGCGGGGCGGGCCGACGCGGGGCGAGGCGGGACGAGTTAGGGTGGGCCAGCGCGGGACGGGAGGGACAGG